GAACAAAAAAAAATTGTATGGGGGGCATAAAGTTTTAATAAACCTCAAGGTGGGGCGGGCCCAAAAAAGGTTGGGAATCACTGGTGTAGCTTCTATTTAAATATTTCTGAAATGGTAATAAATAGAGGGAGGCTATTTTATAAAAAATACACATATTTTTCTAAATTAAATTTTACTGTATTACTATTAAAATCTGCATATATATGGAATAATATTATAAAATAAAATCATATACTTCAAAAATAACAATCAGCAGAAGTGAAAATATTTATATATTGCATGGGTAAAGTAAAAATGAAAAACACAAATTCATTTATTACTTTCCACTTTCAAAAAACGTTTAAATAGTATACATGGATTGAAATTGATTTGATTTGCGATATTAGTTTTAAACTATAGTTCATTATTACACCAAACAGTTTGAGACTTCTAATAACATGTATGGACAAAGACACACGCCTTAATACAAGATAAATAATAAGCATAATATGTTTACTTTTATTATTATTAATTCATAGATTAATTAATTATAGTAAGAATTAGCAATGATATTATGCATCAACCAACTGCACACGAGCTAGATTACAACTACAATTCACATTTCTTATTTTATAAAATGAATCAGGGACCGTGCTGAGGCTTGAAAGGCAAACATCATTTTGAATGCTTTTGTTTACCTTCACTAACACTTTTATCACCTTGACTGACTTGATTTGATTTGATAGGCCACAGAAAGGCCTCTGATCCATTTTCTTCTTATAGGATAGGTTTGTACGTATTTCGTGTGTTTGTTACAACTATGCTAGTCATCTCACGGCTTACAATTAGCAGTAGACATTACAATTTGATCCTAGGACAGTCTCCGAGTTCCATCTCTTATAATATTCTTTATACTCGGAACGATATAGAATTTTTCTTTTAATTAAATTTAAAATTTATATACTTTTTATATCTATAAATAGAAGACCCCGCTTTCCCAAATACCAGAGGTGCCCTATATAATATTTTTTTTATATATTTACATATATATTTAAAGTTCCTAAATTTTATCAGACCTAAGCTTAAAATTAAATACAAAAACGATGACGTCTACATATTTATCTAAAAATTTACTATAATAATTTTTTATGAAATTTTGCCTTTTTACACCAACGTTAGAAAATATCAATAGAAAAATACTCTTTCTGAATAATTTTTACAACGTCATTATAATAGATATATAATTTTGGCGGACACCTCTCGATCAGGCCGGCGGGGATATCTCTATAAACAAAACGTTGAGCCATTTTTGCCAACATTGCGTACACCTCTACTAAATATATCATTATCAATATTAAATATTATTATCTTTGTAGCAGAGTGCACGATTCTCTTCATTTTTGCAAACATATTAAATATAATATTGAAAGATTTGTAATCCTTAAAAATTATCAAGATATATAATAATAATAATAATAGTAGTAGTTATGGTACTGTACGTTCGTGGTTCAAACTGTGTCTGGTGGTACGTGGCTATTGCTGATTGCGGGATGATAATGCCTAACTAACTCAAACCCAACGGCACGATGCCTGCAGTTGGCATCTGCAGGAAGACCGCAGCAAAAGATCCGGATCGAACGATCAAACGATCGACGACCGGATCCGTCACTATGAGAAACTAAATCGCCCGGAATATGATGCCGGGACGACAGGTTCATCGGCTGACAACTGAAACTGACGCCTTCCCCGTCGTCACTATTCATATCCCGAACTAGGAAACATAACGAGATCAGCCTTAACGAGAACGAATAACCAGCAGTAAATCATTATATTAACAAATCGCTATGTCTTACTTAGTTATAATTAGTAACATGAGGGTTTGTAGAGTGGCGGGCGCTTCAACTGAAAACCATTCATTTTATTATAGCATTGTTATAATATGTATCAATATAATTATTATGTACGTAATGGGTTCCTACAAACTAGTCATGTTCTATACCATGGATTATAAGAGCGACTTAGCGTAACAATATAATTTATTTATAACCTTAGATTTGCGATCGGGGCCCTTCTTTAACTAAATCAAAATACAGTGGGCGGCGGGAGCTCGGCCGAATGCTTTGGTGGGGCGTTAAGTTCTATTTAGGGCCCTTTTTGTATTTATTTTTTTTTTCGTAAAAAATCAACATTTTTGAAGGCACTTTAGATCGGACGATTTGGCCCAGTGTGTTTTTTGAATGAGTGATTGCCTAGTTCCAAAGATTATTTTGAATGATCTGTAGTTTTTTCAGTTAATATTTTATTTGGTTGCCTTCATACTATTGCAGAACGGATTTGGATGTGGTCAGAGTCTAAATGGCTATTTCAGAATTGAGAGCAATCGGCCGATCGTCCGCTCATTCCCAAAACTAGAATGTGAGTAGTCGGATCGGAAACAAATTTACGTGATGGTTGAGGGCGTCTGTCAATCATAAGACGGCCCGCGGGCAACGGAAATCAACACCTGATAACACAAGAAAAAACAACGCGGCGAAGGGGCCACGACCGCATGGAGTATACCAACAATTGTACATATACTACATCCCACACTCAAGAATTATTATATGATACTCTAAGACTAATATGTTTATGTAGCTTTATCGTATTGGACTAGAAGGGGGTAAGGTAAATGATGGGTTGGCAAAGATGCTGGAGGTCATTGTCAGTGGAAATTTTGGAATGCTGCAGGATTTGGGGATTTGGGAAATTTGGGATGGGGTCATGGAGAGGAGCGCGGCATTGCAGCCGCATGTGACGGTCACTGCTTAGTGGAAGCAACCCTTTATAGGCGAATCAACGAATAACCGAATGTGCTCAGACTTGTTTGAAAATAATACAATCCGAACGCTTTGAGAATCGTTTTCCTCTACAGCAAATAATCACACTAGATAGGATTTCCTTTTTGTATAAGAAAATAGAATATAAGGCAGATTTTGGTAAAAATTACACACAATTACATTATTTTTGCTCAATTTTTTTTTAATAAGATAAGGCGCGAAGGTGCTTCAAATAAGCTTGTACTTTTTTCGTGATATTTTTTTAGACCGGGGTTCCTAAACTTGGCCGAGAACATGTTCATCTGTAAACTATACGGTTTGAATATTATCATTATACTGTAAATCATCAGAAGTAAAATTATCCGACGCCTGTCTGACGACGGATTCCGAGAGAGCTGTCTGAATGCTGTGTGCAAAACAAAAACTCGCGAACCGAAAAGAGATCGTAACGTAACGAAGCTCCAAAAATGTCCGGTAAAATGTTTCAAAAATCAATTCAAGTGATCATCATATGAAAGATCATCATCGAATGCACATCGAGATACAAAACGCTGTAGTAAGAAATCAACCCGAGATTAACATTGTGTGGGCGGTTGTGTGTGGCGGCTGAATTGTGACCGGTTGGATGAACCCAACAGAAAGAAACAGTCCTCACCATCCATGTCTGCCTGTTCGCGAACGTATTCCGAACAGCTGATTGAGCCCGCCTGGTCGGATACTCCAGGAGCGCACGGATCGTGCCTTGCCCCCCGAATTGTTGGGGGCAGCGCCCGTCCGTGCGCCCCGCGAAGGATCGCTGAACCGGTGCGCGGCTCTCGTCTTAACTTTGAGATGATCGACAACGGATCATCGTCGTGACTTCTTGTTCTTTTGGAGAGCTTTAAAACGGATGCTCTCTCGGCGATTAAGGGGCGTTCGATTAACGGCCCCTTCGCCGAATTTGACGTCATCTGTGTCCCTGACAAGATGGCGGTTCTGTGTGTTTGTATGTGTTTTGTTGTGTGTGAGGAGGGGTGCAGGTTGAGATCGCGGACCGCTTGTGGGCTCGCGATAGAGATACTACGACGCGTTTTTGCGATAACGCGCCTGAGGCTATTGCTGAGGATGTAAAAACCATTTGATTAGTGTAAACTGTAACGACGCGACGTCTGGACTCTGCGACTATCAGAGACCTTGTATTACGGGATTATTTATTTGGGAGATCATTTAGTTAATGGGAAACGGGAGTAAATATGTACGGAACTGAACCTGGCATTGAATAGTCCTGACATCTGAATACTTTATATATTTCCCTGTGAAAAACTTTTTGTAAACACTTATAAAATTCTTCTAAGTTGCATTGTTTGTATCGGCGCTGTTGCAAGTTCCAAATGGGATTTACCGATCCAAAATGACTTGTGTTTAATTGCAAGGAAATATTTATGCTGGACCAGTTATAGTCACTATCGATAAAAATTGAATTTAGTTCAATATTCCGGCAGATCAAATTTGAACAAAAATTGATTAAATAATTATTGTATTAAGATAACGTAAATAAAATTGAAAATTAAATCATCAAAACAAAAATATGTAATAAATCTATTATAAAATATAAGAATTATTTAATGTTTAAAAAAATAATAAAAAAGATATAATTATTATAAAATCAAAGTAAATAACCTATAAAATAATAAAAAACATAGATATATAAATAAATAAAAACATAATTTAAATAAAAAATTATTTATATTTATATGCTGATTATAATCAACAATCCTGTTTCTATTTCAAATCATATAATAATTTTTTAATTTCATTTATATCTCATGAAAGTTTTCTTTAACTAATAATATATGTGCAACGTGTTATAACTGTTCCATCACAAACTTATTCTATAACCTATGCACATTATTTCATGGTTCTTTGAAATATCACTACTTTGTACTAGTCTCCTAGAAATAAATTTAGATTTTCGTTCGTGTACAAAATAACAATACGACAAAAATCTAAAATTACTTCATTTATCTTGAAGATAGTACGATAAGATCCTTATGCAAATAAACATTTTTTTATATAATAATTCATATAAACAGTATTTTAAATTTATTCTTTCATATTTTATTGATACGAACGAGGCGTGGAGATTTTGACTAGGAAACTCACCACAAATGTGCCGTGCTCAAAACTTAATTATTATAAGATTTTGAGCACAAAATTAGTGTTTGCAACTACGCTATACAGTGCATTGTGAAATAATAATAGCTATAATATAATTTATATTAATTACCTAAACCTTTTTTGCGTTTTGTGTAAAACATATAATTAAAAATCATACTAGTATCAATAAAATCATTCAATTAAATAATAATTCATACGGTTATTTAATTTATGATGACGACCAAAGTTTTAGAGTGTTGAGTCAACCATCGTACCGATCGATTTTGATTATGTTTGTGGTATTGAGATCTGTCGGTTACCGCGTTGGCACTATTGCAAATAAAATATCCTGTATAATCAGTTAAAAAATAACATAAGTTGTACGGCTCTGTAACTGAAATATAATTATTATTAATATTCTGTAGAGTGAGATATGGAGATGCAAACATAATCTCAATTGAATTAGTACAAAGGTTTTAAAGGGACTCGACAGTCTACGACTGAGGTCGACATACGCGGACTAGTAATTCAAATTTACCTTTGGTTCTTCAGCATTATTAACACAAAGCGTTAACCATCCTCATCGGTATATATATTATTATTAAATATAATTGCTATAGATATGGGCCGTCTTTGAAATAGTGGCTATTTTGTATGTACAGTTACATCGCCGAACGAGGATCCGATCAAGATCCTTTTTGAGCCTCTCGGCCTATTTGTACAATGAGAGGCTCCTAATATGTGCAGCGGATTTGGTATCAGACCCTCGGCCGACTCTAATTGTTAAGTTCTAGGGTCTATGGTACAGTTTTATTAGATCGACATGTGGGGGGCCGCGTACAGTTTACACAATAAATAATAAATTCGTGCGAATCGTCTCGATTCGAATGCAAACCAAAGAGAGATACACACAGAAAAAGCAACCTGGTTTGTCTGGTAGTTTTGTTTTAGAACTTTTCTTTATATAATATATATTACTTTATTATTTTCTCTTTTAAATAGTGACGATAATTTTAATTTTAAAATTTTACGCTTTTATATTTACTTTTTAGATTTATTTTTGAACTGAAGGCCTAAATATCGTCGAAATGATTGGTGTGTAAAATCCGTTTGGAATTTCACATTCCCTTGTTAGGAACACTTGGTTACTTTTGAGCCCTTTTGAGGGCACTGTGCATGTGAGGGCAGTGACATCAAATGATTTCTTGACGAGCGGTTTTACTCCAATTGTTCCAGGAAGTTTGGAGATTTGAAGTATTCAGGAACCGGATCGTCCAGTCGGGAAATGATCTTGTAGATCGATTTTTTCCACGACTGTTCCGTATCTTTACCGCCCTGTATCGCTTTGAAGAATTCTCGTAACGTTTGCTCCACTACGTAACGGAAGTTTGATGGAACCTGGAGAAACAAAATAATATTAATGATAACGATTCGACAAATATACAAAATTTTTCATTTTATAAAAATACAATATTATTAAGAAATTATAAAATGGCGCATGCCATGCCACAATACAAGACAACAGCAAAGGTGAAAAAAGGAAAAGGAATAACTTTCAATTAAAAAAATTGAATTTATATTGTTTTAAAAATGATATTGAATCACAAAATAGATAATTAACCAGTAACAAAAAAATATGATATAGGATTATTTCCCGGAAGGAATTGTAAGGGAAAGGTAAGCAAGCTATTTTTGCTAGTGTCATTTTGTGCAATGTGGCTGGGGTCGCACCTGAGGTCCCCATACCTCTATGTGGTTGTTCCGGTTGTAATGAAGATTTAGAACTCTATAAATTTCGCTGTCGCCTCCAACTTGCAATTCATCAGCATTTTTGACACCTTCGCTGACTGCCTGCCGAGCATACTTCTCCATTTGAATGTAATAGAATTCCCTGTAACAAAACAGAAAAATTAGTTATGGATTATTGAAAACCAACTACAATCAAATATTTTAACATTGCAATTTAAATAGTAAATAACAGTGCACTTGTCATATCCGACATATTTTCTGTACATCTTTTAGTTGGCAGAGTCCAATTATTAAAACCGATTAATAATTACCAACATTTTCCTTCTGCACGGTTGTGCATAAAATGCACGTTTCTTTATTTATTCCTTGCCAAGTTTCATAACCTGGTTTTATTCATTAATTACAAAGGAGTGTATCATTTGTTTGTGGGCTTTTTGTTTCGTTCTCGAAGGAAGAACAAAACATTTTGCGGGAGCAAAAAACTCGCAGGAAAAATAAATATGAGAAGGAGTAAAGGATGATGAAGAATTCAGTTTTTAACTAAAATATTAATAGAATGAATTTTCGAAAATATTAAAATTTTATCTTTTATCATTTTTTAAACACTTCACATTCAATAGTAAACAAAATAATTTAAAATAACGAAATAAAATATGTATTTAATTTTATTATGTAAATTATGATTTTTATAATTCGAAAACAAACACTGTATCTGCATTAACAGTCTCGCTTTCATTTTCTATTATTATTCATTTGTGTTTCAATTACCGCGAAAATAAAACTATGATGTTTTTTCCAATACGCATAATGATTAATTTTTATCATCATTAAATAAATTGAATATCATTATTGTGCAAGTTGAAGGCCAGCTACGAAGTTCATTGAATTAAATTTGAATCGGTGTCATTGATTGGCATTATACAAATATATACATATATCTGCGTTGAGCTGCATTTATGAACACGATTTTGCAAATCGGTTAAATGTTAATGTAGGCCGTTTAATTATATCATTTACATGTTGATACATTATAACCAATTAACTCGCATCGAACATAACATAATAGATACAACAAATTATGGCAATCACTTTTAATGTTAATGGCCATTTACGGGGGCAATATCTGTACTGTTTATTTGACTGTGCAGCGATCATCGTGCCTATTTCATATTAATTGCATAAATCGGTGTGCGTCCACTATTAAATGGATTGGAAATTAAACATTTTTTGAATTGAAATATTTCAATTATATAAATCACCTATATTCTATTATATAAAATGATATATTTTCTGATACGTCAAATATTTCCTCTTCCAGTTTCGACCGATTCGGCTAAGAAGCATTTGCATATTCAATGTTGTAATTTATTTTTCCGTTTATATAAAAAAGAAACAACCCCTTTGCATAATGAAGGCAACGCAAATAAGAGTTGTTAATGAAAGGAATATGAATGTGTAACGCCGAACGCATAGTTAAAGGAAGGGCTCAGAAAGCTTTGATGCACCCGCTGTTGCATTCGCTCGAAATAAAGGTGCAATTTGGTAATTTTAAATTGAATAAGATGTTGATACAATTAATTAAGATTACATTTATTTAATTATTAAATAAGTAAAATTATAAAAAATATTTGAAGTGTAAAAAGTATGCGCCAACAGTACTCAATAGGTCGCTGAAATGCATCCTTAACTTCCATTAGGGTAAGTTATAGTAATAGGCCAAAAACAGAAAATGAAAATTTTTGCATATCTTCAAGTTTTGAAGGTTTCTGAATATTTTGGCATACCTCAAAAAAATGAATGTGTGTGTATGTGTGGATACAATTTTTCGTCGACGTTTTCGGGAGTACCGCTCAACTGATTTGAATGATTGAAAAAGCAATCGATTCCTACTGATAGGGAGATGTGCAGATTAGTTTTTGAGAAAGCAGGTCCGGCCATTTCGAAGATAAGAAAATAAATGTGCAAAAAATGGCAGTTTTTAAGAGAAATAAGCATCTGATTTGAATAATTCGAAGAACTTTGGTTGACAAAACAATTGCTTTTGAAGAAAAAAATATTTCAAAATTATTTTTCATCAATTCGGATTTTTATTTTAGTTCTGCATAAAATTCTAAAGCTCACTGATATACTTCAAATAAATAATTTTAACCTTGAAATGCAGTTTATATAATTCTTATAAATATTAGACAATGTTACAGTATTTATAATGATCTATTTAAAAACATATATTATATTTCTCGAATATATCGTTGCGGTAAGGACAGTTCCAGCAATTTTCCTTAAGGCACGATGCCACACACCACTTTAAGATCTAATTGGTAGTCTTATTATATAATGTATGTATTTTCTATTATATTATTTATCTTAATTAAAATTATAATTATATTTGAAGTTCATCAATTTATCAAAATAAAACTAGTTGTAAGTGACATTTTGCCCTAGGGCGGTTCTAATCCCGATATGTGCAAATAATCGACTTAATTAATATTAATTTAAATTTTGCGATTTTTAAAATTGTGACGATAAAAATTTAAAATTTTGTCACGGCTTGCTGTTCCCAATTTTAGCGATTTTTTGTAATTTTGTTGTTCCTAATATTTTAGGAAGTTCGTTAAGAGTATGATAAGCTCTAGAAATGGCCCGGCTGATCTTTACCTTTTGAATTTTCAAAATCGTTTCAGGATTCTCGGAGAAACTTTTGATGAAATAACCGATTAAATATCTAGCAAATTAGGTATTACCCTGCGGCTTATACGATAAATGTATAAGAATGAGAAATAGTTCATGGACAGATGTGCAACGACGGATGGCCGTTGCAAAAATGTATGTCAAACGCTTAGTACCGCTCATATCTTGAATTTCGAATCCTAAATAATAGAAAAATTGTTAGGGGAAACTTCAAATCATACCGGGTAGCTTGCACCATTGTTCAAACATCATGAGGGTAAGTTATAGCACATAGCTCATATTCAATTTAGGGTGAGTTTGCGTATCAAGGGTTAGATTTTGTGACTGTTAGAAGATATAATAGTGTTGAATGTGATTTCCTAGACTTTTCGAAGTCGGTTAATTTTTTTTTCGACAAGTCGTAGAAGTTAACGATAAGAAATCGTCAAGCAAGTTGACTCGGGAGCGTCGTGAGAAAGTTTAACGATTTTTTTCCCAGATTGATTTTATCGTATGAGAAGATACAAAGATGTGTGAACATAATTTTGCGGAAATCGATTCACTGCGTTTTTTGGAAAAAAATCTGATCTTGTAAATAATAAAATGTAAGTTTTCTGATGTTTCTGACAATGATGTATGAATATGATTTGTTTTTTAAGGAAATGTTTATCATTTTTAGTTTAGGGGGTATAGTACCTTTAAATATTGTTACATTTACTAAAATTATGTTCACATTTCCAAAGGCAAATCTTAAAAAAATTCCTCTCTCAATTTTTAAAATAACTGAATTATTGACCAAACGTATTCAAAAATTTAATTTTTTTTATTGAATTTAAGTAAACACAAGACATATTTATATAATATTTAAATTAATTAAATAATAAATTATTTAAATTAAGCTGGTCAAAAATTCCAAAATTTGATAGAACATAGTTTTTTTAGGAAGTCATATCTATTTTAAATCTTAACTTTTGCTGATAAGTCGGTTTAATGGAATTTAGACCCTTTAAATTTTATTTCAAACACAGAAAGCTAGGAGTTTTTTGACTCCACATTTGGAATATAAGATTCCAATTACAAGTATATGAGAATGCTCAAAAAATAAAAATATAATAAAAGTCTGTTTTAACATTTATATTTTAAATGAGTTTCTAGCGTTTGTATTATAATAATATTTAAAAACTTTTACAAATATTTAAAAAACTATCCTAAAGTAAATTTTTATTAGGCATACGTAAGCACTCAGTGGCAATTATTTAGTTAAAAGTTTCCTAGACTATTTCTACCTATATAAGATCATATCGGATCGTCAATTCCTAACAACATTGGTATGTTATACATATATATTTTACCCGCATATTTTTCGTGGAAAACCTTTAGAATACAAATAACTGTCGCGGTTATCGACCTGATTCTCTCAATAATGCACGCGTAGTCTAAAAGTGAATTACGTAAACGAAAAACTGTAAAAAGCCATCATAATCGTATAATAATTGCACTACATCCCTGAAATTCACTTTCTAAAGAATACCTGCATGTTTTCAACGAATCGCAATAAGTTTTCTCGAAGCTAAATAGCTCACTCTTGGTAAATGATAATAATGGAAATAATAAATGAGAAAATTATATACAATAGAAATGTAAAAGTACTCAGTTTTTGGCTGTTTTTTACAGTCAATTTTTTAAATATTCTTTCTACCTTAAATCTCAAAATTTGTAAATTGTAAATCCATGTCAATATCGGTGCAAATACAGAAAATTGGTCGATTATAATTAGCTGTTAATTCGGAACTTGACTAATTAATTAATAGCACGCCATACAGAAATGCATTGCCGTAACTAACGAGCACATTATGTGATTATATAGGGACTACATAGGCTCATGCATATGTTAAAGGTAACAAATTGATTTATATCGCCAAAATATGTTGCTTAAGAATTAATTTGTACGAAAATGTGAATAAATTAAATTTAAAAAGAATAGTATTTTGGTAAATAAATATTCAGCAAGTAGGTACACAAAATTAGGTTAAAATTGTATTGAAGTAGATTTACTCCAAAATATTTATCTTACACTACAAATACATTATTTTTAGGAACTAAGAAAGCAAAAAATTATTTTTAGATTTTTACGTATTTATTTTAGTCTCGATATCAAATTGGGATTTTCATAATGACTAATTCTATCTGTCTGCAGCTTTTATTATCATGTTTGAGAGAGATAATTTTTGCATTTTGACCGCATTCATCCGTTTGATCGCAATTTATATAATTGGTTCGAGAATTGATGAAATCGTAATATTTAATAAACGCAATAAAATGCAATAAAAATATTAGAAAATAGCATTAAATTATTATACATATTTGTTAAGCATAATCATAAATAAATTATCTTTTTAGTTGATTAGTTGCATATAATGAACAGTCCTCTATTAAAATGCTGCTTGAACTTGAAGAAACTGTATATAGTTTAATTCGACTATTTCAAATAATATTTTATGTCTTGTAATTAACGTTTGTTACATCGTAATTTATATATTAATAATTTTATATATATATATATATATATATATATATATATATTATATATATATATATATACAGTCAAGTTTAAAAATAAATTTTCTTCTCTAATTACTGCCATGTCAAGATTGTAATATGCCACAACACCGACTTGTGACTAACAAATAAATATAGTCGTATGGAAATTCACAATTTAATTAATTAATTAAAAAAGAAAACATGACCAAAGTCACGACGCACGCATAAGATAAAGGGGTGTTTTTATATTTATTTAATACGACTGTTTGAAATAAAATTTGTTATTCAAGACAAAAGACCAAACCCTATTTGTATGGTGCTTAAACTACACACTTACTATAATTAGAAAGAATTAATTTGGGTAATAATAACGTATGAAAAAATCAGATTTATTAATTAATTAAATTAATTTTTATCATATGACCCCGAATGTTATATTCTAATTGGAATTGTACGAAAAATGAGATGGAGGATTGTTTATAGGTAAAAAAATATTTTTAGCGTTTCATAAGATCACACTAGTTGCAAAACGTTCAGGTTTAATTCAATTAAATATTAGGTATATTTTTCATAATGAAGTTTATTTAACAAAATTGTTATTTCTAATAGTATTTTTCAAATAAGGTTTAAGCGCACAATCTTTGTCCCTTATTGATTTTTCCAAAAAAGTGCCACTCGATCTACAACAACATACACGACGAAACCCAAGAAAAGATTAATTAACTGTTGTGTAGGGGTGTATATTTTTATAAATTCAAATCTAACATCAGATGGTCAGTTTGGAACGATGAACAGCACATTAATACCCCTTTAAAATCTACCCTCTAAGTGAGATGGACGCAATCAATTCCCATTCGTGAGTCATCAGTACGTAAGCAAACTATATCGAGGACTATTTTAAGAACAAGGGGTAGGATTTGAATGACCGAATAATGTTGTTTGAGTTTTAAAATTTAAAAGTCACTGCAAGATATTTAAAAGTTTTAATAATTGTGTAGATTCTTATACTGAAAGCTTTGTATCGCGTTTTCCTAGCTTTATCATCGAGCTGATAAAACTATTGATTTTAATATCGCGAATACCGTGTCGCGTGTAACTCATATGTACATCATAAAGTCTTTTAAAACAAAAAGGGTAGATATATAAAGATAACCGTAAGATAACAAATATATTATATATATATATATATATATATATATATATATCATAGAAATTATGGTTTCACGATCATATCAGAAATTTAACATGTACGCCAATATATCAATAATGAATTACATTCCCTGCACGAAATCTAAATAGCAGTTTCTTTTATTTCTGTATTTCCATATGAAAACAAAAATATTTCGACAAGTGGTTATACTTAAATTCGTTCTATTTCAATAATTAATGAACATTTATATCTCAGGTTCGACCCAATGGGGATTCCATAGTCCCCCCAGAAATATGACATATATTGGACATAATGCGAGTTTCTCAGAAAGATTTAAAAAAAAAACATATAGAGCACATGCACATGTCGTGTCGATCAGAAGCCAAGATAAGACAAAGTGCTAGCAATTTAGTAAGTTTATATTCGTGACACCCGATATTAGAGAGAACTGTTTCATTGAATTATTGATAATATTTTTCATATACAAGTGTAACGCAAAAGAACCTGCAGGCATGCGATATAGCGATATACGGAAATTAGAATAAATGCTCGAAAATTATCTAAAAAGCTATCATATTTTTATTACTAAGGATATTAGAATTTTGTCTATATAATTTAGGTAAATTGGATTTCAAAATTTGTATTGAATATTCACGAATCTTCAATAACAATTTTGATTGATTAATAATATAATTAAAATCACTAACCTGAAGTTGGAGAACCATTTAACCAGTTGCGCTGTGTTGTTCTTGTTGAATTGGATATCTGGGAAGTACATCTTCAGGACAGCGGAACTCGGGTACCGGACCCAGAAGAACATCAGCTTGGCTTTTCGCAGGTGCATTGGGGTTAATGTTGACGATTACACAGGAATCAAGGATATATACAGTTGAAATTGATTGCATAATTATAGTTAAATTTCATAAAATATTTTAAAATGATAAATATGATAATAAAAAATATTAGAAAGTAATTTTGAAAAGTGAATAATAATAAGAATATGCAAGTTTGTTTAAATTTATGTATCAATTTTTTTAAAATAAAATATTAGTTGATATTAAATGTTTCTATTTAATAACTTAAGATCTAATGACTTTCATTATGAAAAGGATATTGTAGGTCGCACTCCATCGTATGAGATGTCCGCCGAGTTGCAGTCTGAGTTGCGATCGTTGGCCTCCATGGCGGCTCGGAGGTGCCCGTAGTCCGGTGAGCTGCCGTGGTGTGCTGCTGCGAGTAGTGCAGGATGAAGCATGGCGGGCGGGTGCGGCAGTGGCGGCGAATCGCGCGGTTCTCCCATTCCAGGCGGACTGTGGGGACCCACGCCGCCCATGTGGTACATGTGTGGGCCGTGAGCGCCGAAGAACGGACTGTACGGGGAGAATACCTTGGATTCGTGCAGTGAAGGATTTGGTATCGCTACTGAAGTGGGTAACGACACCGGAATCATCGGCGGCGGTGGCGGAGGCGGGGGTGGGTTCTGTTGGTACGGTCGAGGTGACGGACAATCTGATGCTGCTCCGTTGCTTAAACCGTGTTCAGGCGAATCCTGCGCCAAAATCCTGCTCACTGTTCGCGGCGTGATGCGTGTGTCTGTAACCTTATGCCTTTTCTTTTTTGTCGTGACCACGAGACTCAGCGCCTCGTTCTGCTCTGGATTGGTCTCCATCGGCTCTGGTTTGCAAAACATATTGTTTTGCGACGCTCCGTGCGGGCTGACTCCGTTGTGTGCGTACATGGCCATCTGCATCTGCTGCTGTTGCTGCGATTGCTGCGGCGGCTTTGGGTGCTGGAAAGGACCTGCTACAACGGGAGAAGGACGCGCATGAGTCGGCTGATAACCTAAATGAGCCGGTGGATGCTCAGGCGGGCCGTGTTGCAGCGGCATGTAAGCATGCCCGTTCATACGCGGACCCATCATCGCATGACCGTTAATATTACTCAGGCCGTTCATTAGGCCAGGTGGTGCTGAATTATTGTTGTTACCTGGTTGATTGGGCTGCTGCGGCTGTGTCGCTTGGCTACCACGATCTGTCACTGGAGGAGGCCTTGCACGCGGGCTTTTGCGGTCGAGCAATTGCGAAGCCAATAGGAGATCCTTGTTCAGCTGTTCCGCTGCTGCTGCCGCTGCTTCGGAATGTTTTCCTAGATATCGTCGTTGGTGCACAAATCGCGTAACAACTGAATCCACAAGCGATGACAACGAGGCTGTGATTTCTGTTTTCAAAGCATCGGCTAGTCCCTCTAGATCTGAACCTGTAACTTGATTCATAGAAAGCGATACTGCTGCAGGTCGTGGCCTTTCGTTTGTGCTATCTTTACCCATTGACTGTGGCGATTGCTGTGATTGATTTAAGGTTTGACTCGACTGTGAATTACTTTGATGTGCGACTGGGCCGCTGTGATTGGGTATGTGCTGCGAATGATTCATATGCGGTGTTTGGTGCTGTTGTTGTTGCTGCTGCTGTTGATGTTGCTGTTGTTGTTGTTGATGATGTTGCTGATCTGCTGCAGCATGAGCAGCCATTGCTGCCTCCTTGGCCATTCTAGCTTCTTGCTCCATGAATAATTTTTGACTAACACCCAAATATACTGCTGCAGCATTGCTTATAGCGTGATGTGGATGTTGTACATGTGGGTGGCCCATTGCCAATCCGTGCGCTTCCGCGTGCATTTGCTGTTGCAATAAGGGATGTTGAGGTCCATTAAATGCTGCAGGCATACCGTGCGGATTTTGATGTCGCATTTGATGTGCGTGTGGATGAATTTTTGCCGCTGACATCATTTTACTCATCACTTGTGACATAATATTAGCTGGCGCCGGCGCCGTCTGTTGCACTGGTGGCGGTGATTGTGTCGTTTTAACGGATGGTGATGATATAGGTGTTCGTTTTTCTGTACATGTTTGACTCACTACATCTTGTTCAAGATCACTTGTAACTTCTTCCACTTCTTGAGTATCTGATTCGTGTTCCATTCGCGAGCACAATTGCACATATTTTTGTTGCATTTCAGCGAGTTGCTCCTGCATACTACGCAACTGTGATTTTAATGCATTTTTCTCAACACGTTTTTGTAACAACGTATGCGGTGTTTCTATTGTATCGTCATCGTCGTCGTCATCTTCTTCGTCTTCGATTACTAACTGCTGCATATTAATTCCCAATTGCGAATAATTGTCATGCTGTTGGGGATGATACAATTTACGTTTCTTACAACCATTCACTTGTTGCGGAGCAGGACTGCTGCGCATGCTCGACACTATATTTTCCACACGCGCACGTTTCATATCTAACGGTGCCGGTTGATCACTTTTATCGGGAGAACCGGGTTGTAAGTCTTTAACACGCGAATCTGTATTATTTGTATCCACTGTTTCGGGTTCGTTCTTGAGTGTTGGCAGTGGTGACGCTGGCAAAGAATGTTCCGAGTCCATTGGCGTCTCCTCAGACGGCGCAGCAATGTCTTCATCGACCACAACACTATTATCTGTCGTTAAAGAACCACCCTCCGCACGTCCGCTAACGCCGACCACTTCACTTATTTCACTATCCGCGGATACACACTGACCATCACCGTTGTGATGGTTATTATTATTATTATTCTTGATGCAATTATTGTTGTCGGGACCGGCTCGCAGTTCGCTCTCTAGCGCCATCAGCTCCTTCTTGCGGCCCTGCAGAATATCACGCAGCATGTGATGAGCCAATTCAGTAGCATGCGGAGATGGCGAACCGCCATCTTCAGATGAATGACGACCACCACCTACCTGATCCTGCGCGTCGCAGGCGCCCTCGTCACCAGGATGGCCCTGACGTCCGAGTAGCTCGTTCAACATTTTGGCTGGACCGTAGCCGGGACCAAACAACCCGAAGTGCTGTTGGTTCTGGCTGAAGATAGCCCCGTATATGCCTCCGCTCATGAAGGAAGGCCGTGAACTAAAATTCGGTATAGACGAGTAACTATTTCTTGGTTCTCCGGCGTCCACTCGCTGTCTGGTGCGTTTCGCCTTCTTCGATAGTTTATCTCCGTACAGGCCGAAACAGTCAGTATCCTCCTCCGATGACATCATAAGAACGGCCGCACGTTATTGGCCGACGGACCTCTCCGTCGGCGTGGTGGGAGACCCAGCGACAATAGTGCCTCTCGCTCCCTGCCACTGTACAGTTCACGCGGCTGACTCGCTCCTCGGTTCGCGCTCCTGGCTCGACGAAGCCTTACCTTCCCATCGCCGCCCGAACCTGCAAGGTGCAAGAAAAGCTTCAGTTAGAACTCTGCTCGAACACGGACGAAGGTTAACGAAACGAAACGAAAGCTCGAACGCACGCACGCACACTACGATAAAAGCACAGCTTTCGTATTAATAGGAATACGTCAGCTGATACGAGCGATATAAATTATCGTCAAAGACGGTTACGTCTTGCAAGGAGCTCTTTAAATTTACTTCCACACGATTTAAAGGGCAAGCGGTCATGCTTCGCGATCGTAAGTAGTTAAAAAGACGGTTAGATTACGAACCATAACGCACTAATTATCTATGTTGACGGTTTGAAATTTAAAGGACCTTTTGAATAGTCGTAATAAAAAATTTTTATTAAACTTTTGTAACAATTTTCTTATCTTAAATTTAATAAAAAATATTTATTTTAAACGTAAGAAGTATTTAATAACCAAGCATAATAATCACCTTACTCACATAAATTTATTAAAATATACTTAAAATTATTGAAGCATGCAACAAACTGCCTATATTTTCTCTATTTTCAGTTATATCTTGGGAACCAAATAAATTCTTTTCGCGTAAAAACCGCTATGAAAATATATGAACTCTCTCACGACACAAAGGGGCATGGTTATGTAAAAAAATACATTATCTGTTCATAATTAGACAACCACCCTCGTAATAAGAGCGCTGAACAATACCGATATGAAATTGGCTATTTCCTTATATTGAAAGCAGGTAAATGAATACTTCCACAAAGATTCTAAAACCTCAACTAGATAATTAATAAATAAATTTTATTAGATGTGGTATACAAATTCCTGTAAAATTATATATAAAATTTTAAAATATATTAGTTTAACAACGTTTCAAATTCAAACTCAAACATTCTCAATGTATAAATAAGGGTATTCAATTATTATAAAATATGATTTATAATATTTTTAAGCATATGTAAAAAATATCTTTACTAAATAGTATGTGGTAATATTTCAAATAGACCTGTTAAATTTCTCACTAATACGCTTAAGAATATTTATAATACCTGCGTTATGTTTGAAGGAAAAGTAAGTAAGTAGGTGATCGATTAATTTCAATATACCTAATTTGTTTAAAAATAATGAGAATAAGCAGAGTGCCTATTTAAAAATAAAATAAAAAAAATATTATAAAAATGGATTAAAAGAAGAGTGAACGCAAATATTTATACGTATAATCGAATAATTAAATTAATTATACGAAATGATGATATGACATACAATGACATATGAATAAATATATAATATTGAAATATATTTTGTATGATCTCTTATCCCCGACTGGGATATACAAAATATGTATTTCAAAACTTAAAGAAAATATCGAAAATAAAAAATGCTCTTTGTATTTCTTGAACATCTAAGAGAGAACTATAATTTGTAACAAATAGTTTGGATATCAAACTTTTAGAACTATTTGTGGTTTATGTCTCAACATACTGTTTCACTGTGGGGTTGACGTCGTTTCCGATTCCTTTTTGTTTTATCTCCCCCGCAATTGTAATAGTAAGTAGTAACAGCCAACAGGTAAAATTATTATCTGCGGCCTTTATCGGCCAAAACGAACATATTGTTCAGTCGTATGTGAAGCCCCGAACCCGGCCAAGAGACATATGCTACCTCGCGAACGAACACATATACTTATGCAGACGATATTTTATATCGGTAAGGTACGATATACACCATCTGTCGAATGGAATATTGCTTATGGTATCAAAAAGGAAAAATAATACACAAACGTAATTTGTAGTAAGTGCAATCAGTCGCTTGGAACTGTATTTAAATGCCATAATGTCTAGCTGGTAAGATAAAGAATATTTGCGTGAGAAACTGCAGCATGTGGTAGAAGAAAAGTAGAGCTCAAAATTGTTTGAAGTTCAAATTATTTTAAATATTGTTATAATTATGACTATTAAATGTTCAATCTATTAAATTTAATATATTTTTTTAAAAAAAATGTTCATAATTTTTTATATTATTCTTTCGTGAAATTAAAAAAAAAAATCATTTTATATATTAGGGGTAACAGTTCTTGAATACAAAAAACGTTTATTTTAAGTTTTTAATTATTTTAATATTGAATAATAATTAATTTTACCCTCGAATAATTTTTTTATATAATTGCTCACTGATCATTACATTATATATACACATAAAAATTGTAATTGATGATACCTCAAGCAATAGATGTTTACTGTTGCAAGTACATTGATAGTATGAAAATTCTAAATATATTTTTCTAACATATTTCTCGTAATATATACATGCTTATAAAATTGTTGAAAAATAATTAATGAATTATAAATCAATTTATACTGGTTTAAAAAATAGAATAATGCCTAACTACTGTCTTTGCAATATTACATATTTTCCTAATTTAAAATATGATATCGAGTTAGTATCAATAATAAATCACTAATAATAATAATTTTAAACATAAAACTTTGAAAATGCATACGAAAAAATGATGTTTCTCTATTTATTTAAAAGATAATATCTCGCACAATTACTTTCTATAGAACTGCAAAATTTACATATAAAATCATTAGAACTATTTACCATTGGTTTAGTAATTTAATTTTGAATTATTACATTTTTTATAAATTATTTGATATAATTTAGTAGAAGGTTTGTCTTATTAATTTATCATATTTTTATTAAATTCTAACTAATAACATATTAGAAATTAATTTTATGATAGAAGTAACGAATCCTGTTAATCTAATTACATTTTTAATAAATATAATTTAATTTATAATTTTATAGAAAAATGTAATATATGTTTATGATGTATATTTTATATGAAGTTATAAATAATACCAAATGCATTTTTTGCCTACAAATATGATGAAAACCGTTTTTCTCTTTATAAAATTACAATAAAAAAACATTGCTTTTTTCTATCTATATAATAATGTATACAAAACACATTAAGATTGTTCGTATAAGTGTCATATGTAAAAAAATGTATGTGGTGAAGAAAAAAATTTAAAGAATTACCAACAAGTAGCTATGAAGTAGTCAGTCATTAGGACGATTCTATATTGTCTACTTGACTCAAAAGATAAAAAAAACGTGAGAAAATAAATATGTTAGTATAAAAAAGTATTAAAAATGATACTATATATTTTATTCACTTATTTAATTTAATTATAAACTTCTGTTTAAAATAAATGCAAATTAAAATTGCGATAAGATTTTATTACCAATTACTGTAATGACTAAATACGTTGACATTCCACCTCTCAAGATAAATAATTTTTTATATACCAATAAAAAATTTACTTTTGATATTCAAATATTCGAATGAAAGCAACAACCCGTTGAAAGCTTTCATTCATTCATCTTGCTTACGACATTTAAGTGAACTGAATAAATAAACAAGCACAAAAGAAATATAATCACAACCTTGCAGGTAAAAACGGCTAAGTCGAAAATCATGGGGTTAAGAATGGCCAAGGACTGTGGCAAGTAATTTGAAACTGAAACTTAAATATTATTAGCAATGTATAGAAAATTTAATTATGTAAAAGTATTTGTATATTATTTTAATGTTAATGAAGTACTAAAAATATTAGATGTCATGAACTTGATATTAAAAATTATTTCTACTGTCGATTCTTCGACTTGGCAGAAATCTCGTCATTGTTCCTTACTCGTGCAAAAGACCCTCGGTGTTTCTATTCTCCAAGACGAGTAAAGCACTGTTTTCAGTCGAACTACCTGTGTGAGAACCCCGAACATATTTATATTATGAATGTCTCAACGGTCTTTTCCCATAAGGAGAGAGCACTAACTCAATGTACACAAAAATCGTCCAGGTGAGACGTCTTCTTCGTGGCCCCCGAGAAACAAAGTCATTTCGAACGCGCATCGGGGTTATTTTGCTTTTGAAAATATTGTTTCTCCTTTGTTGAAGATGATAGAGATTAAGCACAGTTTTGGTAACGAATCGAGCTTTGGGAAAAATATTGAGACTAAGTCGATAAATAATATTAGTGAAAATGAAATTGAATTTTATAGCTTTACCTTTCTACTAACGCATGCTTTTTAAGATAACAGTTTATGTTAAAATTCTTAATGATTTAGTACTGTGAAATATATAATTTTATTGAAAGTTGATGAAATTTTAGTTATTCATGAAGAAATTGGTAATTGCAAACAAAAATTTAATTAAAATAAATTAATAATTTAAAAATTTTGTTTAATAACTATCACAAACGTTAGAGCAAATAATCTTATCTGTAAAGATATAGTAAATTAATATTATAGCAAAAAATACAAATATTTGTAAGTATAATTTAATTTTTGATCTATTTATGTATTTCAATTTTTATAATAATTTTTGGACACATTTTGTATATTATCATTTCTGAATAGTAGTTTTACACGTTCTCTATAAAGACAACTATCACAAAATTGTGTATAATATAAATGGCAATTTACTATATCACAGCAAAGTGTATATATTAATAAGTAATAAAGTATATATATATTAAAAGTGGAACAAATAGTAATTTTATTAATGAGAACATTCTACACTATTTTTCGTACTTTCATCAATATCATCATCAGAAGCATGGCAATTTTACAAATATAATTTGAGTTCAGAATTTTTAACAAAAGCATTGAATAAAAGAAATTATTAAAAAATACCCGAAACATTGAATAAAATGAAATAATATAAATGTAGAGATTTATAAATATAATATAATTTTTGGATTTATTTATTTAAAATATTGTAATATTTTTGAATGCATCTTTTTTGGTTTGTTTGAAGAGATTTATAAATATTATACGTTCTCTAAGACTATCTCAAAATTGTTTATAATTTTCAAATAGCAATTATCATTATATCATATCTACTATATCATAACAAAGAGTATTTATCAAATCAAATCTATTAAAAGTGGAACAAATAGTAAATTTTTAAATAAAAA